GATTCATATAAAGTCCCTCACAGAAGGGGGAATGGACAAGTCCCCTAGAGCACAGGGGACACTGTCTTTAAAGAAAAAACAATAACAAAAAAACAAACAGGATTGGAGAGATGGCTCAGAGGTTAACAACACTTGCTGTTCTTTCAGAGGTCCTGGGTTCAATTCCCAGCAACTGCATGGTGGCTCACAGTCTTCTGTAATGAGATCTGGTGCCTTCGTCTGGCATGCAGGCAGAAAACTGTATACATAATATAAATAAATAAAGCTGTACAAACATACAAAAAACTTGTTGTTAGGAAGAACTAAGTGTGTCTGTTCATCATTTAGGAGATTAAGCAGAAGGATTGAGGCCAGACTGGGTAGAATAATAAATCAAGAAAAACAAAACAACATGAATAGCTAAGCATGGTAGTCCTTACCCATGGTCCTAGCATTTGAGAGGTGGAGGCAAGAGGATCAGAAATTGAGGGCTGTGCTGAGCTGCATTCAGGGCCAAGGAGAGCCAGGGTTACATAAGACCATCTGTTGACAAACTAACAGGGCCAATGAGGTGGCTCAAGCAGGCCCTGGATGCCAAGTCTGATGACCCAAGTTCAATTTCTAGGTCCCAAATCATGGAAGGACAGAACTGACTCCCAAAAATTGTCCTCTGACTACCACACATGTGTTGTGGCATACATGGGCCCATCACACATGATAAAAACTTTAAAAGAAAATGAAGAGCTTGGGGCTGGAGAGATGGCTCAGAGGTTAAGAGCACTGGCTGTTCTTCCAAAGGTCCTGAGTTCAATTCCCAGCAACCACATGGTAGCTCACAACCATCTGTAATGAGATCTGGTGCCCTCTTCCGGCCTGCAGGCATACATGCAGACAGAACACTGTATGCACAATTAATAAATAAAACGTTAAAAAAAAAAAAAAGAAAATGAAGAACTTTAAGACAATAAGAACTTTAAAACAAACCTGTGTTAACATCTCTTCCCTCAGTTTTTTCTCTTTACAAAAATTGTTTGTCTCGCTGGATGGTGGTGGTGCTCGCCTTTAGTCCCAGCACTCGACAGGCAGAGACAGGCAGATCTCTGTGAGTTCAAGACCAGCCTGGTCTATAAGAGCTAGTTCCAGGACAGGCTCCAAAACCACAGAGAAACCCTGACTTAAAAAACAAAAACAAAACGACAACAACAAAAAATTGTCTGTTTGTTTCTGTTTGTTTGTGACAGGGTCTTTCTTTTAGCTCTGGCCAGCCTGGTACTTACTGTATGTAGCCCAAGCTGGTTTGAACTGGGTGTTGTGGACGCTGGGCGCACAAGAGTGTGCCACCACACCCAGCTTCTGAGACTCTGTTTCTTACTGATTTTCACTGGCAACTGGGGCCTTCTGCATGCTGGCTAAACACCCTTCCACCCTCCCACTGAATTACATGCTTAGATGTACTTTTTAGACATTCCTTCCTTTTGCGTCTCATTTCAGAGATGATTTGCTGCTTATTGGACCAGGAAACAGAAACTATACATATATGGCCCAAGCTGTGAATAGAGGGGTGACAGTTGTGGGACTTTGGGACCAAAGGCATCCTGGCATGGCAGATTATATTCCTGTTGCTGTAGAACATGCCATTGAGCCAGATACCAAGCTTACCTTTGTTGGAGATGTCATCTGCTTCAGCACCCACCTCGTCAATCAGCATGGTAGGTACACTTCTACTTAACCAGACAAAAGACGGTTTTGTCAGGTGTGGTGGTAGTGCATGCCTTTAATCCCAGCACTAGGAAAGGAAGGCAGAGCTCCATGAGTTCCAGAACAACCAGGGCTACATAGTAAGACCCTTCCCCCCACCTCTCCAAAGTATTTATTTATTTTTATTTCTTATGACATTTTATTTACTTGAGTATGAGGACAAGAACAACTTGGGTGAGTTAGTTCTCATCTTTTACCATTCGTGCCCCAAGAACTGAACTCAGGTCATTAGGCAGGAGCCCTTACCTGCTGAGCCTTCTTGATGGCCCATAGTGTTTGATGGTTTGTCATATTAGTTGATAATTCTCAGCCATGTGACCATTTTTCCTCAATGGCCAATTAGAAGTCGACTAATAGCATTACCAACTGGCTACTGGACACAATTTTATATTATGTAAAGTAGATAATCTAGGGCACTGTGTCTTCATCTCAGATTTTGAAGGAAGGTAACTATTAGGTTAAGAATAATAAAAGCTGCGTTTGAGACCAGCCTAGTGTACAGAGCTAGTTCCAGGACAGTTCCTAAAGCCACAGAGAAATCCTGTCTAGAAAAACCAAAATAATAACAATAATAAAAATAATAATAATGATAATGATAAAAGCTTGCCGGGTGTTGGTGGCGCATGCCTTTAGTCCCAGCACTCAGTGGATCTCTCTGAGTTCCAGACCAGCCTGGTCTACAGAGCTCTAGTTCCAGGTCAGGCTCCAAACCTATACAGAGAAACCCTGTCTCAAAAAACCAAAAATAAATAAATAAATAAATAAATAAATAAATAAATAAAAGCTGGAGTAGAGAGAAGGCTCCGTGGTGAAGGGCACTTCTTATTTTTGATAGGACCTGGGTTCAATGCCCAGTACACACATGGTGGCTCACAGCCATCTGTATACTCCCTCTTCTGACTTCCACGGGCAACAGGCACACATGTGGTACATATATATATATATATATATATATATATATATATATATATATATGCATGCATATAGGCAGAACATTCATACACAAAGTTTAAAAATCTAAAAATATTTAAAATTATAATAATAGATAAAATACAAGAAAGAAAAGAGACAATGAAACTTTAGTTCTGGGAAACAAATATCTATATGCTATTCTATGAGGCAGTAACAGTCACAACCTAATTTAATGTCCAGTAGATTACTATGGCAAGTTTGTATGGTGAGTGTGTGTGTGTGTGTGTGTGTGTGTGTGTGTGTGTGTGTGTGTACCACAACACAAATATGAAGGTCAGAGGACAGCTTTATGGAGTTGGTTCTTTCCTTCCCCTGGGGAATCAGGGAATCAAACTCAGGTCATCAGGCTAGCACAGCAAGTGCTTGTATCATCTGAGCCAAGCCATCTTGCTAGCTGGAAACTATTTTGTTCAGCAAAACATTTGTCTTGGAAGAGATTCTATTAAGTTCAATAAAGATGATAGAAAATCGGTCCTTGGGTTCAAACACTAGCACTGAAAAATAAAAGTAAATTTTTCCTTGACAAGGAAATGTGAATTCTTTGGCTTTACAGACACGTCATCTGTTACGGAGTACTGTTCTCTAAGCATACAGCCATCATTTGCGTCAGAGCAAAGGACTGCTTCTAGTAGACCCTGAGATCAGAACTGTTCATTGCTGATGTTGCCTCATAGAAGGGAAGGGGGAGAAGGCCACTCCCACTTAGTTGTGTGTGGTGCTGCTCTAATTGCATGCAACCCCCCCCCCCAGTCTTGGAAGGTGCTAGAGCACATACATGGTGCCGAAGGCTAACTGAAGGAGGGACTCCGTCCATGAGTTGTCATCTATGCTGGAGTAAGATTTCCCCAGTAGTGTGACAGCTTTGGGGTCACCTGTACTCCTGTTTGTAACCTCTTAACCATGCTCTGGAAGTAAGCCCAATAAATATATTAGTTTCCCAAGTTGGATTTTGATTTTGTCAATGGTGCCCTATAAGGAGGGGGTGAAGAGTTTATGTCTTCCCAGGGAAGAGTTCCTGCAAACATCCACCTCTAACTGGCTGGGTGGTGTAGGACTTTGGTTTTGGTCTCTTTTCTGAGAACTATGGATATGCTGAGTTAACTGAGAACACTGGACTTGTTACAAAGGTAGTTCTAATCAGCCAAGGGCAAATCACCAATGTATACTCCAAGGCCTGTGAGCCAAGCTTGCTTCAAAGTCAGTAATGAAAGTTACAGTTCCACAATTGTAAATCTCTCTGGCCACAGAAGGAAGGCTCTTTAGCTGGGCTTGTGCCAGGATCACCCTTTAGTTTTGCAATCTGGAATTTTGAGATACAACCAAGTGCACACTAGCAAAGATGAGGAAGTGGAAAGGCTACTGATCAGGATCAGTGGCTGTAGGAGAAACAGATGTTCAGAAAAGCTATCTACGTTTATAAAAGAGTGGTCTTGAGCACCTACTGACTGAGACTTTGAATGAGGTAATTCATTAATTTATATTGAAAATTTCAGCCAGGTGCTTTCTCTTGTCTTGTCTTAGGTGAGCCTGGGGTATGGATAATTTCTACCAACAATATTATACAGACAGACACTGTCACTGGAGTAGGAGTGGCTAGGAACCCAGGAACTGCAACAATTTTTCACGACATCCCTGGAGTTGTGAAGACGTTTCGAGAGGTACAGCCAACTGGCCACAGCTGGACAGAGTAGAGTGACTGCATTCATAGGCTATACGTGCAGAAACACCCTAGGAGGGAAGTGCACTTGGTAACAGACCTTAAAAGAGTGGGCTTGGGAACATTTCAGTGACAGAGCACTTGCCAGCATACAAAGACCTAACTTCAGCCTCAAGCAACTCCAAACAAAACAAAACAAAACAGAAAAGCTAGTTTATTTTGATTAGTTTTCCCGTCAGCCTGGCCCCAGAGCCCCGTCAGCCCCAAATAACACACAGAGATGCTATATTAGATGTAAAGTTGTTGGCCTGTTACTTGTGTTCCTTATTGGCTAGCTCTGTCTTAAATATTAACCCATTAGTTCATTTTTTAAATTGTATTTATATATATTTATTTATTTATTTATTTATTTTGGTTTTTTGAGACAGGGTTTCTTTGTGTAGCTCTGGCTGTCTCGTCTAGACCAGGCTGGCCTCAAACTCAAGAGATCCGCCTGCCTCTGCCTCCTGAGTGCTGCGATTAAAAGAGTGAGCCACCATGCCTAGCTTCAAAAAAGTACTTTTGATGAAAAGTAGTTAGAATTCTTAGCAGAAGAATGACTGACTAATCTGACTTCATCTTAAGAGGCCACTGTGTGCCCCACGCAGCAGTGCATATACTGAAACTGGAGCCATACCGGAAGTACTGGCATGGCCCCTGCACAAGGGTGACACACAAACTCAGGACGCAGCCCATATTTTTATGATTAAATTTCTGTTTCTACTCCCATCCTGAGAGATCTAGGCAACATGGGGAGGGCCAGACTGCCTCAGGCTGTCCTGAGCCAGGTGCCACCACTGTAAGGAAATGCCTTCAGAAATTCACTGGTTCCTTCAAACCAAAAGAAAAAAGACAGAGAGAGACTACTATGAAAACAGGGAGATGGCTTAGTAGGTAACCCAGAACTGATGAAAATAGCCAGATGTGGTGACTGATGTGTAGTTCCAGCACTCCAATGGTGAGACAGGAATCTGCCAGATGCTCTTAACAGCAGAAGCAAGAGATCCTGCCTCAAAACAAGGTGGAAGGAGTGAGCTGCCTCTGGGAAAGTTGTCCTCTAACCTCCACGTGGCATGGCATGCATGTGCCCACACTCACACACAAGCTAAATCCTAAATGGATCATTGTGAGCATGGTGCTACATGCCTGTAATCCCAGCATGCAGGGAGTTGAGGCAGGATTGATGAAAGTGGAATCCAAGGACATCAGCTACACAGTGAGGCTCAGGCCAGCCTGGGCTACAGTGGGAGACCTTATCTCACAATAACAGTGCTTCTTCTGGGCTGGGGATGTAGCTCAGTTGATAGAGTACTAACATGAATTCCTGGGTACATAAACCAGGTTCATAAACCACCACATAAACCAGGTATGTCTTTAATCCCAACACTGGGGATGTGGAAGTGGAGGCTGTAATATCAGAAATTCAAAGTCATTTTAGGCTATAAAGGGAGATTCAGGCCAGCTGGGGATACATGAGAGAGACCCTGTTTCAAAATTTTTAAAAATCATTTCAGAAGTCCCCAAGCTGTTCCCAAAAGATTTAATATCAATTAGAAATGCTCAGCCAATAGCTCAGGCTTGTTACTAGCTAACTCTTACTTTTAAATGAACCCATATTTCTTATCTATGCTCTGCCACGTGGCTTGGTACCTTTTCTCAGTACAGCGTGCCCATCTTGCTTCTCTCTCTGCATCTGCTCCAGATGCCTCTGACGCCACCCTTCTCTCTCACAGCATTCTCAGTTTTTCTCTCCTGTCTAAACTTATCCTGCTCAGCCATTGCCCAGTCAGCTTCTTTATTAAACTAATCACGATGGCATACATTCATATAGGGTAAAGGAAAATTCCACATTACCCACTTTTGCCTAATTGATAACTGTTTTTGTTGTATGTAATTTTACTATGTTAAAGCTAAAACCCTTTTAGTTAGACAAAAAGGGGGGAAATGTTGTGGACAATCTTTGTATACTATAAATATGTATTACTCTCATTGAATAAAGAGCTGACTGGCCTATAACTAAGCAGTAAGAAATTGGGCAGGAGAGCCAGACTAGAAGGACACTGGGAAGAAGGATGGAGACACCAACTAGACAGAAAGGAAGTAGGACATGTACAAAATGAGGTAACAAGCCATGAGCTACATGACAGCACATAGATTAATAGAAATGGGTTAATTTAAGTTGTAAGAGCTAGTTAGTAATAAGCCTGAGCTATCAGCCAAACAGTTATAATTAATATTGTCTCCATGTCAGTTATTTGGGAACTGGTAGATGAAAAAGAAAAGTTTGCCTACACAGATTTTTGTTTGTTTGTTTCTCAAATAATCAGAGTGACAGTATGTAGCTGTATGAAATAGATACTTCTGGTTGAAATAAGTTATAAGAGGTAAAGATGGAGAGGAACAGATTTCCCTTCGGTTTGCTGACAGGTGGTAGTCAATGCATCATCAAGATTAACACTCAGCTATGACCTCAAGACTTACCTCACCAATACCCCCAATGCAACTGTGTTCAGACTCTTCATCAGCACGGGCAGAAATGATGTCAACCTCAAGGGTAAGGAACTTCTTCAGGAAGATGACCATCTTCCTTTTCTTCCCTCAATTATTTTACTCCTTTGGATTAATATGTCTCCTTTTGTTGGCCTGCATAATAGCACATACCTGTAATGCTAGTATGTGAAAAGCTAAGACACAAGCATTGCAGCATGTTCAAGAACACCCTGGGCTACACAGCAAGATCTTATCTCAGAAAACTGAAACAAAAAAAATTTTATTTTGCATCATAATTGACTCCAGTTTTTATAAAGGCATTTTATTATTTTTAATTATGAGTAGATATGTGGATATGTGAACATGCATATAGGTGCCCTTGGGGGCCAGACACTTAAGATGGTTGCTGGGAACTGAACTTGGTCCTCTAGAAGAGCTTATGTTAAGCTATCTCTCTAGCCCAGTGGTTCTCAATTTGTGGGTTGTGGCCCCTTTGGGGATTGAAAAGCTCTTTCACAGGGTTACCTAAGACCATCAGAAAATGCAGATGTCTTACATTACTATACATAACAGCAAAATTACAGTTATAAAGTAGCAACAAAAAAATAACTTTATGGTTGGGGTCAGCACAACATGGGGAACTGTATTAATGGGTTACAGCATTAGGAAGATTAAGAAACACTGCTCTAGTCCTTAACTCCATCTTGACACATAAACTGAAATCAATGAGATCTCAAAAATTATTAAAGTTTGGATTTTTATAGCTGGGTGGCAATGGTACCTGCACTCAAGAGGCAGAGGCAGGCAGATCTCTGTGAGTTTAAGGACAGCCTGGTCTACAAGAGCTAATTCCAGGACTGCCAGGGCTCTTTTACAGAGAAACCCTGTCTTGAAAAACAAACCAAAGTTTGGATTTTTTTCTTTAGTTGTGGTGCTGGAGATCAAAGACTGGGCCCTGTGCCTGCTATCACACTGTGGAGGCACACTCCTAGCCTCAATGAATGGATTTCAGGGATTTTTTAATTTTTGCTTGTTTTTGAGAGTCTTATTATGTAACCCAAGCTGACAGGTGGTTGTCAATGTAAACCAGTCTGGCCTTGAACTTTGGCTTCTGCCTCCAGAACGCTGAGATTAAAGACATGTTAGGTTTCTTTAAAAGATTTGTATTCATGTGTGTGTGGTTGTGAGCTGCCCAGGCTGGGCACTGGGCACTGGGTCCCTCAGTCAGGTCCTCTATAGCTAGTCTTTCTCTGACCTCCCAGCCAGCTCCCAAATCACGATATGGAGATTTAATAACTATGAAAGTTTGGCTGATACCTTAGGCTTGCTTTTAGCTAGCTCTTTTAACTTAATTAATCCATTTTTATCAATTTACATGCTGCCAACTAGCTCATGGCTTGTTATACCTCATCTCCTACATGTTATGCTTCCCCTGAGTCTCTGCCCTTCTTCTTCCCAGCATTCCCTCTGCTCAGAAAATCCTGCCTAGCTATTGGCTGTTCAGCTTTTTATTAAACCAGTCTGAGTGACAATCTTCACAGCACACAATGAAATTACTGCACAGCAGTTCTCTGTAAGAACAAGAGCTCTTAAGCACTGTGTCATCCATCCCTCCAGGCCCCATAATTTTTCTTTTTACAAACCCATGTCGGTAACTGTCAACACTTCTCTTCTTAGGGTCCTGCACCCCTAATCAGGCTTCTGCTATTGCAGAAGTTCTTCTTCCTGAGACGCTCCTGCTGTGCCACGTGCAGTTCAGTAATACTTTACTAGACATCCCAGCAAGCAAAGTCTTCCACATTCGCTCAGAGTTCAGCATGGAGAGAGGTACTATCCAGCAGCTCAAGAACTTCCTTTTGCCCTTTTCTGCAACTGTTACCCTCCTGGTGAACTTTGTGTTTTCTCTACTTCTGGAGCCTTTCTCAACTAGTTCAACAAAGGGTTGTGTGTTTTTGTTTTGGGGTATCATGTATCTCTGGCTGGCCTCAAACAAGAATGAGCTTGAATTGATGCCTCCACCTCCAGAGGGCTAGGATTGCAAGCTGCACCATATCCAGTTTATGCACTGCTGGGGATCACTCTAGGAGCTTTGTACATGTTAAGCAAACTCCGTAACAACTGAGCTGTATCCCTTATCAACAAACTTCTAACACGTCCCCTAGAACATGCTGTTTTCCTATAATTTACCTTTTTTGCTATGAAAGGTTAGATTGTGTCTTTTTTTTTTTTTTTTTTTTTTTTTTGAGGCAGGGTCTCACTTTGTAGCCCTAATGCCCTAGAAATCACTATGTAGACCAGGCTGGCCTCAAACTCAAAAGATTCACCTGCCTTTGCTACCTGAGTGCTGGGATTGAGGGTATGTGCAATCATGCTCAGGATTATTCTTTTATCTCCAACACATAGTACAGTGTTTGAATATTCCAAAAAATGTCATTAACAAGAAATAGTACAGCATTCCGATGGTTTGATATAAATGAACAAACCTACAATGAGAGAATTCTGCTAGGCCTTGTAGCATAAACCTGTAATCCTACTACTTGGAAGCCTAAGGCAGGAGGATCACAAAGTCAAGGCCTGTCTGGTCTACAAAGTGCATTCAAGTTGATCTGGGAAATCTAGTGAGACTGTGTTCAAAATCAAAAGTAAAAAGAGAGCTACAGATGCTCAGTGGTAGAGTGATCAGATCACCTGGCATGGGGTAGGCTCTAGTTCAAATCTTGCAAACAAAATTTGGGGGGGGAGGCATAAGCAGGATAGTGCTACACCATTTGAGCTTTTGACACAAGGCCTCTTGGCTTGAATGGCATGGGTATAATGAAGGTTCAGTCAGAACACTGTTGAATGCCACTGAATAGCCCTTTCAAAAGTTCCAGAACAAGACGCACATGGAATGGCACTTTCACTCTAAGGCAGGGCACCAGCAACCAAGGGGAGCCTAGGGGAAGATGTATTCCATAGTGGGTATCAGAACCATACTCAGAAAGGTTTTGTATTCATTCTGCCTCCTCAGTTCTTACCTGCTTGGGCCATATCGTTTAATAGCCACTGAATGTTGACTCTCTGGGAAGAACAGCACTGTTGAGTCCAGCTGTGGCTTAACCCCCAGGACAATTTTCCTTTTCTTTGGTATTTTTTCCATAATGGTCAATAATTAGTGTACCTTTACTAAATGCTCAAATTGGATTCACAGTTTTTCTTCCCATCCTAACTTG